TGTTTTCTGAATTGTTACAGAAATACTAAAACTATAAATGTAATTTGTTATTAGTAACACACACCAATACATTTTTATCTTCTGTGTTCACTTCTGAACCAGGACTGTGATGCAACTCAATTGTGTGTTTCCAGGGCAACAGTTGCTCACCAAGTGTAATAAGATACAAAGTTCGGGGGGTGGACCACTTTATCCATCTCCATCACATCCCTATCATGTTTCCCTTATCACCAACATGTACAGTCATTGTGGTGGAAGTGTCCCACTGATCTTCCTTATAAGATTTGGAAATTTTACAACAAGACTTTGACTTTGAAAGAAGAATTCCATTTTTTATCTTACAAATGAAAAGTTGAATTCATTAGCATTAAAACACAGGGTTTTGCCACTACCATATGACTTGGTCTGGTATGACCAGTAGCTTATGGGAGCTAATGTTCAGCTCTAACTTCAGATCTTATCACATACAGTCACAGCGACTTGATCATTTGTTGATGGTGAGCAACAGGAATTAATGATACATTCCACATTAATTCATGCATTGAATCATCATGAGTCATGCTAAGCATTGCTTAAACGTACTACAAGTTTACTGGGAGTTTTTAACTGGTTATGAAACAGTCTCAGTTTAATACTGATGCCTACATGAGCTACATAAACAAACAAGACCATCAGAGAGAAGACTGACTATTTATATATTCTAAATGTCTGCCACTGGGTTAGATTCAGTCGGATTCCCCTTTAAATCAATGAAATGAGGCGGTAGAAAAACTACTGCTTTTGTTCACAAGAATACATTTATATTAAAAATCAAATGTGTAGTATTTCATACTTTAAAATGGCACTAAACCTATTGGCATCACTTTACCTTTGTTACACTTTGTTAAAACAAACACATATATATTGCATCATAGATAGGCACCTCATCTCCACTTTAACTTTTTTTTGTAGGAGATACATTGGACAAGCCGATACTTCAGCCAGGATCAGGATTTTGGAATGACTGGAAAGATGTGGGCTCCCCCTTGTCCCCTTGTTCAAAATAAATCAGGAAATCAATGTAGGACTGTAGGCCAGAGAGACGGACAGCTTTTTTCAAGTCAAGCCATGTGAGGATATTCACGATTATCACAAGTGTTTTTTTTCTATTGCGCTAATCGTTCCATCCCTAGTGTCAAGGTACTCTGAGTGTAGCAGCGTGAACCCATTGAGAGCCAGATCAGCCAGAGCTGGTGGAGACCAAACCAGAGATAAAAGAAAGCATGAATATTGGACTTTGGCTTAGGTTAATAATACTGGCCCACATATCAGACAGGCTGTAGTAAACTATTTTCTTGCTAGCATATCAACTTTGTAAGGTCATAATATTTAAAATCAGCTTTAAAGCCTATACAATTTGCATACATCAGGAGAGGTCTAGTTCTTGCCTGTGACAGGCTTTGGGATGAGCTGGGTCCGAGCTGAACAAAGCTTTCATTCTCACCACACTCATTAAATCAATTCCTTCCACTTTAAAGAGCAGTGGTTAGTCTGCTCCTCTAATCTTTGTAAAGCCCTGTTTGGCAAACTGGCAACACTTACAGTATATTAGATATTCCCACACTCTAGTTCAACCGAGCAAGTCATATCTTATGTTGGACTGTATGCTGTGTGTGTACACAATACCTTTAATTATACTATTGTACATTTACTATAATGTATTTCTAAATAACCAAAAAATAATGAAACTCCCAACCTATCCAGTTCACATTTTAGACAATATGGAAAAACTCTCTGTAAGAAAAAAAATATTATTATATTATTGTTGAAATTGAGTGCAGGACTTCAGTCAGGTGATAACAAAATCTATTTTTATAGAAGAGGCCATGAGATATGGTCAGTTGAAGGCTCACAAAACATCTTATAAGTAAATCTTAAGTTAAGAATATTTTATCACTGTGTTTAATTTTTTTTTTTTTTTAAATGCCTCCTTGCTTAAGTGATGCAATTAAATAGCAAAAATATCGTATCTAGGGATGCACCATAATTATCAGTTTGTGAAGATTTTTTAATAAACTTTCCTTGAAAAAATAATATTAAAAAAAATGTAACTGTTTGTTGTTGTTGTTGTTGTTGTTGTTGTTGTTGACGACAATGGAGATATCAGTTCTTGTCAAAAACATGAATAATGAACATCGGGTTCTTGTGTTAGTCCACCAAAATCAATCAACAACCTAAGCTTCTTTCAACTTGTTCCTACAATCGTGCAGGAATAAATCTGGTGGAGAAGAGGCAGAGAGAACAATCTCTACACCCACAGCTGCAGAAAATAGACCAGAATACACTGCAACACACAGAGGAGGGTTGTTAGTAAGGAGCTCCACACTGATTATCAGCAAGAAGCTTGTTAGCTGTAATTCATGCTCAAATGCTCATACTTCCACTTGTGACTGGAAGCAACACCATCACCCCTTCTCTGGGATTGTTTAGAGGAATTGTAGGCTTACTATTTGAGGGAGAACAACACCCCACAACACAAGAAATTAAATTCTGGAGTAACCAGAACATCACAGATTGACTCAGCAGTGGACCAGCAGAGAACGCAGTCACAATGCATTTTTAAAAGACAGGTTAGCTATGTGGATGGATTTCAATTAAACAGGCTGCTGGGTAGGGCTGCTCGATTATGGAAAAAATCATAATCACGATTATTTGGGTCAAAATTGAAATCACGATTATTCAAACGATTATTTTTTTAAACTTCAGAAACATGCTGCATTTATTGGACATTTGTCAAAAACACTTTGCAAGGCAGTCCTCAGTTACACTTTCCTTTCCCCATAAACATTTGTAAGTCTCTGGTTACCTGTCCAAACGAAAACAACGTGACAGGAGAAGACTGCAACTAGTGTCGCGACCACCGGCGCAAGTATAAATAGTTACGGCGCTCCCGTGACTTCACATCGTCGCGCGACAGGTCGGGACCGGTGAGTATATCGAGCACATGACGCATGTGCAGTGCATGCTGTGGGGGAGGGACGGAAATACGCATGCGCGAAATTCACAGACTGTGGCTGTGTCCCAATTCAGGGGCTCAGCTTTTTCCTATACAACGTTGCACAACAGAAAATGAAAAAAAAAATAGTTTCCCTCAGATTTGATTAGTTTTGAGATCGTTTGGCCTCAAAATCGTAATCATGATCAAGTTTCGATTAATTGAGCAGCCTTACTGCTGGGGCTGTGTATGGGCTAGAATGTAGAGATACGATACGTATCACAAAACAGGGGTTACGATTCAATATATTGCGATACTGTATGTAAGGCAATATACTGTGATTTTGGTCATAGAATAAAGAACACACCAGCAGCTACTGTATTAATGCTGACTGAGTTTAATCTAGCTCTAGTGTACACATATATGTGTTGTCCGACCATGCCAGACGGTAAAATAGTTGTTCCAAGCAGTGGCACTCGACGATGACTCGACTGTGGGATTCTGCACCAATATCACTCTGCAAGGGTACTCAGGAGGCTGCTTTCTTAAACAAATACCTTTATTAAAGAATATTTAAGTTAACATGTAAAATAATTCTAGTTGACAGTGCTGAGAGCTGCTTCTTCTCTCTTAGTCTGTGCTGCTTGCCAAAAAGTATTGGCAATCACAGCGCACTCTGATTATACCAATATGTTTGCAATGGGACAATATCGGCTGATAATCTCAGCCAACTGATATATCGGTCAGGCTCTAAATCACAGCATGAAGAGGGTGAGAATGTCAGATTGCAGGTTTTGGAAATTGTCAGATGTAGACCCCTCAATACCGACATGGGAAAGGTTCCCGGGAAAGGAAACGCTTGCAAAGCTCTTTGACCATCCAACAAGAACACTGGTGCCTTAAGTCACTTTAATCAAATGAATGTAATGTAATAATCATACTTTTATTCTGCTGTGGTTTTAAACACCTACCTATTTATTGTTTTTTTAATCTTTTCTATATAAGTATTTTATTCTATTGTTGTATTTTATTCTATTGTATTTTATTGTATTTTAATGTACCTGGCTGCTATGATGACCCAATTTCCCTTCAGGGATTAATAAAGTCTATCTATCTATCTATCTATCTATCTATCTATCATTGCCAATTCCATAGTGCATATGCAAATCACACCTTTTAAAGGTTACCGAGACTGATATTTGATACATGCATGGACCATGGACGCATTTCAAATTGGTCGGGCCCATCAGCACTGCACTAACACTGTTAAAATCTTTTTTCAGTAAAACTTTAAAGCTAACAAAGTGGTGGAGGGCAGCAGCAGGCTGCCAGAATTTGAATGGGAAAAGTTTGATTTACATCACATGACACAGTTAGATGTATAAAAGCAAGTAGGTCTCCAGCCCTACTGGACCTGCTGGTTCCACGGTCCCTGGATACATGTAACGAGGATCTTTCTGAAATTCTAGATTACTACACTAAGACAGGATTTGTATGATGGACAGCAATTCATGAAACCCAAAGATATTGTCTTAAATCCAAAACAAATTAATTTTTTGTCAACTAGTCAATGAAAGGATTCATAACTTCAGCTCTCTGCTTCCAAATGTACAGCACACACACACACACACACACACACACACACACACACACACACACACACACACACACACACACACACACACAGCGTCCTTGATGAATTAAACCTCCACACAGCAGTGATTATTGTTAGATTGTTGTGTCCACGGTCCTATGTAACCGCCACAGCTGCAGACAGGCTTCGGGCAGAGCTCTGTGGGAGAATGCGGGTCTGTTGGAGAGCTCGATCTGGAAAGTTTGGGACTCTGTGAGCTGCTGTGAATTCACTAAAAGCAACCAAACACCATTCAAAGTTCCCGAAATGGGAAAGCCAGCGATCCTGAGAGTCCCTCAGCATGCGCACAGAGGCTGTGCATGCGTGGCCACCAGGCCACTGAGCTCTGTTATTAAAGTGCAGTAATATGAGCAGAACCCGGGATGCCCCTACCTTGCAGGTTCTGCACTCGCATGTCGCTGATCTGCCCGATAAATTCCTCCCGCTCGAACCAGTCTTCCCACTCGTGTCCAGCCATTTGGAGAGGCGGAGAGTCCTGCAGAGACCCTGGGCAGGATCACTCGGAAAGCTCCCCCCCGGGTGGAGGAGGAGAAGCTGCTACTGCTGCAGCGGGCAGGCGGGCGTCTATTGTCCGGCCGGCCGAGCAGGAGCCATGCAAGCCGGGCAACACACAGGCAGAGAGAGCGGGGGGGTTCACTCAGTGGCCGGACATCGCTGCTGTTTACTGCGGGGTTCACAGCGACGGAGCTCCGCGAGAAAAGCTCTGGAGAAGAGAGGAGGGTACGGGAGGAAGGAGCTGCAGCACCTGGTTGGTATTTCCGAGGTGGGATGGAGCAGATCCAGAGCCCGCCCACCTCTCTCTCTCTCTCTCTCTCTCTCTCTCTCTCTCTCTCTCTCTCTCCCACACACTGTAGGCAAGCAGTCATAAACAGAATTACATGTACTTTTCACATAGTTTGGAATTTTATTTTGTACATATTTACCTTTTTCTGTTTCATCATCATTTCCTCAAAACATCAAATCCTACAAATCCTACACACTGGTCCTTTAAAATCCTGTGACCCCCATTAAGCTTTTGAGCCCCACTAGGGGGAAACCACTGTAATATAAGACTGAATGTAGGACAGATACCTGCATTCAGAATTTATTTAGCATTTATTTTAATGTATCATTTAAAGCTGCAGTAAATAACTTTTGGTCATATTTGCTGACACATTCACTATATTTTGACAGTAGTACATGAGACAGATAATCCACCGGGCCTGAAAGAAAACAACCAATCAGAGCCAAGAAAGTTGTTGAGTCTCATTCCCAGGGTGTCAAATACAGACACTTTGGGAAAGTTACCTACTGCAGAGGAATCAGAATCCGAAATACTTTATAGATCCCCAGGGGGAAATTGGTTGCATTACAGTTGCTCAAGTAGCTAAACAAGTCATTATAAGGATAGAAATAATAAGAATGTTAAAATACCTGCATTATATTACAATATGTAGAGTGTGTACAAATCTGTACATTATATTACAGTATGAAACAATATTTAGAAAACTAAAAATAAGACATTCAAAATATGCATAGTACAGTATATAACAGAATATAACTCTCAGAACACTTGAACAATCATCAGCACAAACACTTTTGGACACAACATAAATAGAATGGTCATCAAAAATCCCACTTCATTAGAGAGGACATCTTAATATTTTGTTTGTGTTATGTAAGATAAACAATAATTGTGCTCTGCCGTGTAAAAAGAACTCTTAAGCATATGCAAGTTGAATTTTGTGCAAGTTATTAACTGTAGAGCTCTGGTTTAGTATTTCTTCTCCTTTAATTTGTGCGTGAACAGCAGCTGAACAAGGCTTCAAAGAGAATGTGCAGCTGAGTAATTGTGAGGATTCTCTTCCTGTGCCGTAGTCATTAGGTCCAGACCGAAGCTGTGTCTGGTCTCTGTCAGCACACGGGAAATGAGGATCATAGTAGTGAAGCGTGTTTATACACTTCAGACAGACACCAATGTTTCATTGTACAGTGGAGCTATCAGGCTTAAGAGGTCTGGGAGTGGACAGACAGACACTGAACTCGAAGAAGTTATTATTGGCGACCTTTTTGATCAGCAATTTGGATGTTTGATAATATGAAACCAGTTCTGGTTAAAGGTTTCCACCATACACTGTAAGATAGAACTGAACAGTTATTCATTATTTTAAAGGTCCAGTGTGTAACATGTATGAGGATCTATTGTCAGAAATGGAATATAATATTCATAGGTATGTTTTCATTAGTGTATAATCACCTGAATACAGGAATCCTTGTATTTTGGTTACCTTAGAAGGACATTTTGGCAATGGAAAAACTGGCATGGCCATTTTCAAAGGGATCCCTTGACCTCTGACCTCAAGATATCTGAATGAAAATTTGTTCTATGGGTACAGTTTGGGGCAAAAACCATGCAGTTTTCTGCATTTTCATCTAGTTTATTTGAAAATTTCTGCATACTAGGGTCTAAAATATGCAGAAATATTATAAGATTAAACACTATTTGAACCACATAAATTGGGAATGAATTGATGATGATGATTGATGATTTGGATGAACTCACTTATAGAGACTATTAGACTGTTTCTTGCAGCTCTTAAAGGAAGATTTATATATATTTATATATTTATAACTTCAATAAAACATTTGAATGTAACTTAAGGTGATATTTTCACTCTCATGTCCTTTCCTCATGGTGACACAAAATGCTTCTGTGCATAAATATGAGGTACACTTAAAGGTGCAGTAGGTAACTTTAATGAAAATAACTTTCTGTCATATTTGCTGAATATTTTAATACATCCTGACAGTAGTACATGAGACAGATAATCTGTAAAACTCAGGTTCCTCTGGCTCCTCCTAGTGCTCCTAATGGCATTTGCATAATCCACTGGGCCTTAATGAAAACAACCGATCAAAGTCCAGAAAGACAGAAAGACACTTTGGGTTGAAGGCTTGAAGATAGTTAATTGTTGAGTCTCATTCCAAGGGTGCCAAAGCATCAGTATTATGCACCCTGGTAATGAGTCACATATCAACTATCTTTCTTGGCTCTGATTGGTTGTTATTTTTCAGGCCCGGTGGATTCTTACAAATCCCATTAGGAGCACTAGGAGGAACCTAATTATCTGTCTTATGTTCTACTGTCAGGATATAGTTAAGGTCTCAGCAAATATGATATAAATATATTTTTTGAGTTACCTACTGCAGCTTTAAGGGTCCTGGTTTGGTGGTTTGAAAATATGGTCATCCTATGTTTTGGTCACAGAACGTAAGGCACTGAGGAAGTTGCATACCAGTATAACCAGTGTAATACACATTACAGCCCTACTAAGAACTGTATTTCATGCGTGACATGATGAGATAATTTATTTCAAAACTTTTCGTGGAGCAACCTACACTCTGTTTAACAGAGACAAACTGGGATTTCTATAAATAAATACAGATGAGAGGGAGAACACATTTGCATACTGACCCACATTACCGCAGTGTAACAGTATGAAGGTTATTTTCTAACTCTCCGATGCGATATCTTCTAAACAGCAGAGCCAGCGCACCCCAGCCCACACAATAAAAAGCAGAGGCAGATGTTACATAACTATTTCAGAGAGCAAAGTGATCATCCTCCTACTGAGAAAAATGTTTTTGAGGTAAAGACACTGAACCTTAAAGTTGATCCTAATCTTTGGTGAGCTAAAATCAGCAACCCGCTGGCCGATATCATCTGGAGTAATCTGTTTAAAAGCCATCTGGCACAGTTCACTAACCAGCTGTTCTCAGCAAATAATCAAATCATACAGCAATACTTCCACCAGAACAATGTATTTCTTATAATTACTGTCATACAATCAGCACACAACATAATTCATGCAGTCACAGTACTAAAAATGGCTGTTGTCTCTCCAATGTGGATTTGTATGTGGCTCAGTCTCATATGTAATAACATATTAGTGTTGTTGTTGTGTGTGGCATCTGTAAGTGCACCAGCCTTGTAATTGCTTGTGGGGAATGAAGAGAATGCCATAGATGAGAGGTAGCCATGTATGGAGTGTGTCAGGAGGCAAAGGAAGCAGTTATAAAGACAGAATGCCGTAAGACAGAATGATAGCTGCAGTAAACAGTAAACAGCCCATTGGTTCTCGACCAGGAATGTTGGATGTGGATTTTCATGTTTCTCAAAATGAAAATAAACATTTGTGATCCATTTAGTGAGTGTTTCCTCATTGTTTTAGTGTGCAGAGCTCTGTACTTTTAGAAGAAGAAGAAGAAGAAGAAGAAGAGCATTATAAAGCTGCAGTTCCTAACTTTTATAAAATAACTTTTTGTCATATTAGCTGAAGTTTTCACTATAACCTGACAGTAGTACATGAGACAGATAATGTGGGGGAAATCAGGTTCCTCTGGCTCCTCCTAGTGCTCTAATGGTATTTGCAAGAATCCACTGGGCCTGAGCCAAAATGACTCTGATTGGTTGTTTTTTCCAGAGGAACCTGATTTTTTCACACATTATCTGTCAGCAAATATGACAATAAGTTATTTTTATAAAAGTTACCTACTGCAGCTTTAAGGTCTGTAGTTCATTTGTATTTTTCAGATTCAAGGACAAATTTGATACAGTTGTTGTATTTGCTACGTTGTGATCACACGGCAATATTTTAGAGCGGTCCAAAAGTTATAAACAACTGCCATCCAGGAGCAAGCTGCTCTCTCATTGGTCATTCTTTTTTTTCTTGTTCATTATGGAGCACCAACAGCATGTACTGCTAATTGTTTGAATTGCTAATTATAGCAGCTGGTTCACCCTCCTCTGCCTGTTGCCCTTCTCTCTCTCTCTCTCTCTCTCTCTCCTCGTCTGCTCTTCAATTTGTAGCCTTATTCACATGCTCCAGCTCAAATGCATGGGTGGCCATCAAATTCAAAAGCCTCATCCAAAGTAGCTAAATATTTAGCCATGACATTAAAAATCTTTTCCACTTTTTCCGACACTAATCCAGTGGTTAGAGCTGTACCCTCCTTGATTTTTCCCTCGTGTTGCTTGATACCCTGGTTTCGGATAATTGCCTGTTTATGGACTTTTACTCTGCCTGTACCCTATTGGATTTGTTTGCTTGTGTGGACTGACCTTCTGTATACCAAACCCATTTTCAAATAAAGACTGTTATACTTCATACCTACATCCTGTCTGTAATCATGCTTTTAGGTCGTATTATCTGTGGATTCTCCAGCTACAACAGGCACTTGGTGAAAAGTCAGATGATCAACAAAGTTATTAGGATATGTTGTCCAGGAATGAACTATGAATGTCTGTACAAAATGCATCCGTCCATAAATCCATCTCGTAAATGATGGACTTGTAAATGTTAAGATAATCAGTGAATAAGTGTGGTGTTTACACTCTGGTCCGCAGTGAATGACCAACATCATTAGGGTCCATCCTCTGGAGACTGATTTTAATGGCAGTAAATGCAATAATTAAAAAAACCTTCTAATTGTTCTAAAGGAAAGGTCAGTGCTAATAGTCAGTGTTGTGTGAGTCAGGAACCCCTGGGCAGTTGCCCAGTTTGCCTGGTTGGTAATCCATCCTTGTCTATGATGGCATGGCATTTTGATTTATCATCATTTTGTATCTTGTCAGAGATGGTTTTCTACTTTCTATTTAAAACTGATCCAATCCTGAGAGGAAGCATCTTCGGACAGGCTTTACAGCCTAGCAACAGAATTTGAATGCTCCATGCTGTTTGGCTGTGACATGCAAATGAATCCAGTCGAAGAAAGAAGGCTGTATCATTGCTT